TTGTCCAGCTAGTTTCTTTCTATTTTTAGTAGAGATGGGGTCTCGTTCTTGCTCAGGCTGGTCTCGAACTCCTGACCTTGAGCAATCCTCCCACCTCGGCCTCCCAGAGTGCTAGCATTACAGGCGTGAGCCACCACGCCCGGCCTAAGTTTTAGTTTTTAATTCTTTTCTCATGCTAGTTTCTATAACCACTGTGTAGTAGTTAGCTACTTTGAACTGCGTCATTCATTATGATATTGTTTCCATTGCTAAGTCTTACTGCTATCTGGCTCTTTCATTTCTTTACGGTAAAGGAGGTCAGGTATATCCTGTGCAAGGTAGGTAAAAGTTCTTAAGTCTCAAGACTATACTGTTAGCTTTTGTCATAGATTATTTTATAGATTTTATTTTAATGTCATCTGTGTTTTTAAAGTATGTTAAGCATCATCATTGCATATACTTATTTATTAGTTATCTGTAATAGCGCAACAATATTACTACAAATTTAGTGTCTTAAAACAGCACACATTTATTATCTCGTCATTTCTGTGTGTCAGGAATATATGTTAGCTGAACTGGGTGCTCTGCTTAAGCTGGGTCTCACAAAGTTCCGATCAATGTGTTGGTTGGGCTTTTGGTCTCATCTGAGACACAACTGGGGATGGTTCTGCTTCCAGACTCAAATGTTTGTTGGCAGAATTTGGTTCCTTGTAGGCTGCTAGACTAAGGGCTTCTGTTTTTTTTCTTGCTGGCTGTCAGCCTGAGGCTGTTTTCAGCTTCTTGCCCTGTGGCCCTCTGTACGGCAGCCCACAACACTGTAGCTTGCCTCTTCAAAGCCAATAAGGGATAGAGTCTCCTCCAAGATAGGCATTATAGTTCTATGTGATGTAATCATGTATAGATAATCGTTCTGTTTCTTGGCTAGAAGCAAGTTGCAGGTCTTGTCCACATGCAATGGAGGGGATCGTACAAGAGCATGAACACCAGGAAGTGGGGATCTTTTGGGGGCTACCCTAAAGTCTGTCTGCCACAACTTACTTGCTGTATTTTCACATGGGATACATGTTTATCTTATTCAATAATTTCTGCTACTTATTTAGATGTAGTGATAATTTTGAATTTTTTGTTTTTCTAACCAGATTCCATTGGCCGTGACATCCCCAAAATGCTTGAACTATTTAAAAATGGACATGAAATTAAGGTAGATGAAGAAAGGGAGAACTTTCTCGAGACCAGGATAGCAACAGTAAGTTATGATGGGAGTTATCAAATAACCCTCTTTTTTCTTTTTTGTTCAAGTAATTCATTAATAATTTATAATATTATAATATGCCAGTCATTTGAACTTGTCCTTGGCACTAGCATTAGGAGTGGCACTAAATATACACATAGATAATTTTTTAAAAAATTTTTTGTAGATATAGGATCTTGCTGTGTCACTCAGGCTAGTCTCAAACTCCAGGCCGTAAGCAATTCTCCTGCCTTGGCTTACCAAAGTGCTAGGATTGTAGGTGTGAGCCACCATTCCCAGCCAATTTTTTTATTCTGTAGATTGAACTCACAAATTTTAATGGTACTTGAGAATTCCTTACAGAGTTATGTGCTACCCACCGACATGTACTTGCACTTTGCTTTATTTATCTATTTTGTGTATGTATTTTTTGTTTTGTAATATTTTTTGCTTAAACTTTGGTGGAATTGAATAACTTGCTTTATTTTAATGAATTGTGTCTGATTATCTCTGTGTTTTGAAAATTATTTGCTTTTAGAAGATGCAAAGCCATTTTTAGGACACTAATATAGATATCTGATTTATAGGACTGTGTTTTTAAATATATAGTCATTAGAAACATTGAAGTTATTTATACTAAAGAATCTCTAAAGTGCCTGTTTAACATATGTAATTTTTTCCTGTTCAGTAACTATAAGAATAAGAGTAATATTGATAGCAAAATTTAAACAGTGCCTGCCTAGTGTCAGGTGCTATTCTAAATGCTTTTCATATATTCTTTTAATCCTCAACCCTATGAGAGGTAAAATTATCACCCCCATTTTACAGATGAAGGCATGGAAGCCCAGAGAAGTTAAACAGCTTTTCTGAGGTCTCACAGCTACTGTAAGGCAGAATAGATATTTGAACCTTGGCAGTTTCCTCAAGAGTCCAGGCTCTTTGCCCCATACCATCTTGCTTATAGCTGGAATTATTTGAATAGCAGTTATTCAATAATCAAATAATCCTCTTTGTCTTCCTATCTTACTTTTTTTTTTTTTTTTTAGACAGAGTCTTGCTTTGTTGCCCGGGCTAGAGTGAGTGCCGTGGCATCATCCTAGCTCACAGCAACCTCAAACTCCTGGGCTCAAGCGATCCTTCTGCCTCAGCCTCCCAAGTAGCTGGGACTACAGGCATGTGCCACCATGCCTGGCTAATTTTTTTTTTTCTATATATATATATTTTTAGTTGTCCAGATCATTTCTTTCTATTTTTTAGTAGAGACGGGATCTCGCTCTTGCTCAGGCTGGTCTCGAACTTCTGACCTTGAGCGATCCACCCGCCTTGGCCTCCCAGAGTGCTAGGATTACAGGCGTGAAGCCACCGTGCCCGGCTGATATAATGCTTTTTCTTAATGAAAAACAAATTATATGTTTAAAGAGAATCTTTTTTTTTTTTTTGAGACAGGGTCTTGCTCTATTGCCCAGGCTAGAGTGCAGTGGTGTCAGCCTAGCTCACTGCAAACTCAAATCCTAGGCTCAAGCGATCCTCCTCCCTCATAGATATGCACCACCATACCAGGCTAATTTTTCTATTTTTTGTAGAGATGGGGTCTTGCTATGTTGCCCTGGCTGGTCTTGACCTCTGGCCTCAAGTAATCATCCTACGTCAGCCTCCCAAAGTGCTAGGATTATAGGCATGTGCTACTGTGCCCTGCCTAAAGAGAATCTTTTTGCATATTATTTAAGTGTAAGTAGGAGGTTAAGAGAATGAGTTTTAGATTCATATTGTCTTTACTCAAATCCTAGTTCCAGCTTAGAAACAACTATGCCACCTTGTTCTCTGAGCCTCGGTTTTTCCTCATTCCACATTTCCCCATATGTAAAATGATGGCAATAATGATTATGTATTTTTAGGCTAGGAAGGAATGAACAAAATAGTAACATACTAACTATTTATCAGACTACTACTCATGGCTAAGGTGGAGTAACAGACACCCGATTTACCCTCCTACCTAAAATAATCTGCATTACCTTGATACCAAAATCAATTAAAAAAAAAACCTACAGTGCAATCATTCATGAATATATATGTAACAATTATAAACTAAATTTCACCAAATGAAATCCAGCAACATATAAAAAGTCTAACATATGATTAAGTAGGGTTTATCCTAGGAATGCAAAGTTAGTTCAACATTTAGCAATCATTATAATTCACCATCTTAACAAACTAAAAAGCAGGAGCCATGTAATCATTTCCCTAGAGGCAGAGAAAGCATTCCTGACTAAAAAGTCTCAGCAAACTAGGGACAGAAGTCAATGTCCTTAACCTGATAAAGGGTATATAAGAAAAACCAACAGCGGACATCATCCTTAGTGATGAAAGACTGAATGCTGCTTTCCTCCTAAGATTAGCAACAAGACAAGGATATCCACTCAGTGCTTCTTTTCAACATTGATCTGGGGATTCTAGGCAGTACTGTCAGACAGGAAACACAGAAAAAGGCATCTAGATTACAAAGGAACAAGTGAAACGGTCATTATTCACAGATTACATGCTCTAGCTAGTAGAACAAAGAAGTAAGGTTGAACATGCAAGCTCAATATGCAAAGGTCAGTTGTATTTCTGTATAACAGCAATGAACAATTAGAAATTGAAATTAAAAAACAACAAATGCCATTTATAATAAT